ACACAAGCGGGGGGGGGGGGAGCACAGGAAGGGGGGATCCGGGGGGTGGCAGCGGGGGGGGGTGGGATGGTTGGGGTAGGACATCAGATGGTAGCATCCCCCAGCTGCAGCTCCTGCTGCGTTGCCTTTCAGGGCCTGAACACATAAAAGGCAAAGAATCCTGAGTACACACCTTAGAAATACTGCATGGACATACTGTACAGTACTTCTCCACCACAGTGCAAACAGTTTCAGACAGTTTGAATTTACCAAATCAATTTTTTGCTATTAACTTTTCCCAGCAAGACTTAGCAGATATATTTTTAACCAGTGAATAGCTGATAAAATGGACCAATTTCTACACCACCCCTGCCATGTTTGCTCTTCCCTATTGTTTTTCTTTTTGTTGTTTTTACCAGTGTCGACCTGTGTAAATAGTTACATCACAGAAACAAGTGAAAGATGTTGGCGCTTTACCTGACCAGTGGGAAATGAAGAAAGAAATGATTGAAGGTTAAAGAAAGTAAAGAAACATTTTGTCAGAAATCCATCAGACAGCTTTGGTTCCTTCAAGTGTACAGAACATCTCATCCTGTGCAAGTGTTTTTAGGTTAAAGTCACAAAAGACAAATGTGAAAGAGAACAGTTCATTAGTCCACACAGAGTTTTTTGAAATGCCACATTATTCCTATATTTACTATGAAATGAAGGAGCGAGCGAACATTCTCTTTGCACTGGTGCCACCTGTTAGAGCCCGACTAATGAGACGTTCTCTTTATAAGATTCAAACATTGACTGCCTCGTTTTTTAGTTTTCCTCGCTTCCTCTGTTTAATATAGTGTCACGCTCAGAGAACAACAGCTGCACATGTCTTATGATGTGTGTAGGATTAAAAAATCCCTCTGTTCTTGTTTCATCATCTTTGAGTTTTTCCTGATTTTCAGAAGTTAAATCAATGCTTTCATCAGGAAAAAAAAGTTTAGTCTGCTTAATAAAAGTCACACCTACCTATAAACTCGTTTTCATTTTCACACAGCGTCCACAGTCTGAATTGATTAAAGCTGGAAGCTGTACACTAATAATCTTTGTCCTCCACAGGTCCTGAAGCTCCCACTTCATGTGAAGAGTTAGTGTGCAGTTTTGGAGCTTCCTGCATCGAGATTAATGGCCAAGCCCACTGCGAGTGCCCTCCACCTGACTGTGATGAGAGAAACAAAACCAAGGTGTGTAGAATGAAGTCGTGTTAGTTTCCAACCCGACCAGCATGAGTAGAAGGAAGTTCTGTCACAGAGGCCCACAGGGATCCAACATGTGTTCTAAACTCCCCACTCTCCGTCTCTGTCACCTGGAGCAGGTGTGTGGCTCAGACGGGGTGACCTATGCCGACCAGTGCCAGCTGAGGACCATAGCCTGCAGGCAAGACAAGGACATCACAGTGCAGCACTTCGGACAGTGCACAGGTGAGCGCCGTCCCTGCCTCCATGCATCAAGCGGCGGACGGGTGGCCAACTGTTGTCAAGCCCTGTTCAAAAGATAATGAGCAGTGCTGTGGGCCTGCAATTCTCCCTCCCCTGCTGTTACTGCTCCCATCCTTCTCTCTCTGTGTCTTGTCCAGAAGGTAAAGACGCAGCAGCAGGGAACACACACTCTACTCACAACACACAGTATGTCAACATGAAACTCCTGCAGACAACATCACTCTCATGCCCAAGAAACACCGGGTTGGAACTGATAAACCCATTTTTTGTAAGAATTTGTGCATTTCATTATAGGTCATATGATCAAAGTCCAATTCTGAAGAGTCTCTAGTTTGACCGTAGATGTCAAAGATCATTGGCCACCTAATGTTTCAAGAACACTATAGTTTGCTTATGTCCAAAGGGAGGCTGGGGGGCCAATTGTGGCCTTTGGGCAGTTTTTGTTTGTACATTAATTTTTATACTTTTCAGAAAATCACCAGAATGCTAATGCACTTATCTTTTTTGCTATATTTTTAGCTCGTTCTGGGTTCATTTATTAGCATCAGTTTAATAGTTTTAGCATGTTTGTCCGCTATAATTTTTCTATTATATTGCTAGCTTCCTATACTATACTATATTTAGCTACTGTTTTGCCATCCTCTGACTACTTTATAGTCACATTTTATTAAATATCCGTAAGCATTATTAGTTCAATTTTGATAAAAATGTTTGTAATATGATGTCTATTTTTTGCCACATTTTGACTAACATTACTTCGTTTGTTGCTATGTTTTTTGGACTAATTGTGCCTAACATATATTTTTTTAAATATTTTCACTATTTTTGTGATGCATATACAGCTTAAATGTTTGATTGGAATTTTTTAAACAGAGTTTCCCTGCACTTGATGATGGCTTTGGTAAATCCATTTGCAGTGCACTCCATTCATTTTTATAAATGACAGTGCATTTGCATGAAACAGAGTGCAGTCTTAAGTAACACAAGAGGAGTAGTTAGCCCTCAGGTGTTTCTGCGTTGTCAAATCTGGCCTCCCAGTCCTGAGAAAGGCTTGATGTAGATGTGTAGTGTCCATATGCATCAATTAATAAACACAACTTCTCCCCCTTGACCAGATGCCGATAGACATTGTTTGGATCAGTGTAATAGATGCCAGGACAAGTGCCAGGGCCAGGGCTTTCATGTACAGTGAAGTTGTTGTTGCTGCCGTCTGCCAGCTTGCGTCACAACAGGGTTCTAGTGGAGCCCTCGGCGAATCGCAGTGGGGCGGCAGAAGAGTGCCAGCTGTGTGGCTCTGGCTACAAGCCACTGCCAGGTGTCAAGCAGTTTTAGGTGTAGAAATGTTAATTCACCTCAGTGCTCGGTAGGCACAGATCAAGTGACCTAATTCTGGGTCGCGACAAATGAAGAGTCCTTTTATCCACCTGCGGCTCTCAGCCATGTTGTACTGTTGACACAAACTGCAGGTTCCTCAAAAAAGCAACAGAAAATGCTCAGCAAGAGACCAACAAGACTTTGATAAGTCCCTGAACATCTGGTAATTAGAAATTCGGTGCTGTGGGTTATCAGCTAAAAAGGAGCCAAAAACCCAGTCGGGTTTCACGTTTCTCTGTTGCCTGGCAATGGGGATGTTGTGGCTTGTATGTAATCCCTAACCAAGCACTGCCTCTCAGCGAAGACCAGAAGATGCCTCACAGCCGACTCTTGTGCTCTCTGCAACTCCCAAGGGAGTAAAAGTACATACAAGCATTCGGGACCACCGAAAGCTACGGAGCGTCTTCAGTTTTTGTTTCCTCTGGACGTGATCTTGCCGCAGGTAGCTGCTCTGCTGCTGATGCCTGCTCGGGCGTTAGATCTCAAAATCATTTCACGTGCGGCTGGGTGCAAATTAGCATTTGCTCTGCCTCCACCCTTCTCAACTCTGCAGCCCTGCCTGTCCCCCCCACCCCTGCTGATTCCACACAGTGCTTCTAGACACCAGGTTTTAGCACTGTGGCAGTCTAATGCTCATCAATCTGCTGTGTAGTCTGGCATGCCAGCAAAGTGAGTGAAAGTTATTTTTATTATTTTAATGAACTGCACACCATCTGACAAGACCATTAAAACTTTGTAGATATTGTAATTAGAACAGTTTTCATTAGCGCAAAAAGATACAGAAAACATTGTCCAAACTATTTGTGTGGCAACTTAAAAAGTTAAAAAAAAATCATTATACCACTGCTCATCCAGTGTCTGTCACTTATAGGCACAGCTAAGAAATATTCACAGTCCTGTGGAAAACAATAAGCAGTATGTAAAAAATCCAGTAAAAACTTAAAGAGTTGTATTAGTGTTCCCAGCATCGAGGGACAGTGTATGGCCCAGTGAGCATGTTCTCGCACCGAGCTGGCATAGACCTGTGTGTCCCATATGGTGCTATCACCTGTAGGTTTGTGGTAAACTGGCGTAGAGTATCAGCATATGGCAATGGCAGCCCTCTGCCTTCCTTTCTGTTGGGTTTCTGTTGCCTTCCTCATTTTTCTGCAGTTTTCTCCCATTCAGTCTCTCTCCCCAGGTATAATTCTGGATTTTTTTTTCAGTGCTTTCCTTTGTTTGATTTTGTTCTCCCTCCTCTCTGTTTTAATCCAGTGTCTTTCAGCAATGTGTCCTTGTCTTTTTCTTCTTGTTGGCACGATGGTGTCCTCCATGCGTGTGTCTGCTTCAGTCTCCTGTTTCCAGTTTCCTCCTTCTCCTCCTCCTCTTCCTTCCTTTTACTGAGCGCGGCTGACACCGCCAACATTTTCAATAAGCACTTTTCAACAGTAACTGCACGGCTCAGACTCCCTGAGATGACAATATGTTTTTTTGTCCTCCCACCCTGCGACATGGCTGTCCTTTGCTCCACTGAGAAAGAAAAGAGAAATCACAGAGGCAAATGAACTGTAAAACCTGATTAAGAGAACCATCAGCTGAACTCAGAGGCTGCTGCTCCTCGTTCTTTCTCTCACTCTGTACACTGCTCGAGCACACGCGAAGACACAGCAGGTAGTTTTGGGAGAGCAAGACGTCAAATGCTAAGCTAAGCACCTGACTGACAGGTGTAACCATGAGGAAAGGCAACGCCTGCCATCCTTTCCCAGTGATAGCATCGCCCTTCATTGCACCAGCAGCTTTAAATCTCTTCCTCGAACACAAATCTGCCACGAGCTTTGAGCTGACACCAACACCCAGTGCCTCCAAAGCTTTCTGCCACCTCAGTAGGTATCACATTTCACACCTCGGTGAGTAATTGCAGATCAAATAGGTGATTATGGGAGTGTAATTAAGGCCCTGCACGTAATGTTAGGTGAATCCTAATGAAGCACAAAACTATGCTATATGGTTTGTTTTAATCTTCTTTTCTTTCCACCCTCACGGTGACACATATCTGTTCTCATGGGACATAAAGAAGGAAAGCAGGAATAAAGGACTTGTCATGCCTGCTTGCCTCAGCTGAATCTGAAAGACTTACATACTTACCGACTCCCCGCCAACTTGCTTCGCCCCCTCAGGAGTTTTTGTCCTATTTATCGCTCTTTCATCGCAGACAGTTTGTCCTTTTGCACCAGAGCTTTTTGCATTGGTAATGATGGTCTCTTCAGAGAGCTTCTTCTCTCCTCCTCATTTGAGGGATGTTTTTTTCTCCAGCTCCCATATGTGTGTGTTTGTGTGTGCCTGTCGACAGCAGAGTGTTTGTGGTGGCGTTGATGGAAGCTTGTGCGTTCTTCAAGCAGCAGTCTGCCGTCTTTGAAGCCAGAGTTAAAGCTGGCTTTTTTTGCCCCATTTCTATCATTCATTCATCAATAGAGGAACTTGCTGTTGGTGATTAAAGCACTGCTACTGGAGGCTAGCATTTGAATATGGATATATAATTCATAGGCACTGGCACAGTGTACATGCTATATACAAATGAATATTGCATACACCACCTTAGTCTTTGTGTGCACACATAAAACACACAAGTGAACATTTGAGTACATTGGCACCACCTGGGTTTGTGGAATTCTCTCTGGTGCTCCTTGTTATTTCCTGCTCAAACACACTTCACTGCACATTGCTGTAAATGCATGATTAAATCCCAAGTCTAAATGGGATGGATGTAGTGATTGACATTTCATTTATGGTGACAAAGTTAGCTCCTTAAAAATAACTTTTTGTATTCGAAGGGTCATTCTTACAATGTTTATGTCATTGTACAGTTTGGAGGAGACCTTATGGATGCAGTTTGGAAAAAAAAAAAACTTCTCCCTCCTACCCCCAGCTTAAATGCAACACCAGGCTGTTCTGCTCAGCACTGCACTAAAACTGCACCCACCTCAATCAACAAACCATTAGAGAACAACTTAACTTTATGTTTTTTGCCTTAGATTCGTTCTTATGTAAAGTTACTGACAATATCAATAGGGTATTTCTTGGTATACATCACAGACAGCATGTGTATACAGGTCAGACATTGTCTTATTTGGGTTACAAAACATGACAAATTGTCTAGGACACGTAGTTTACAAGATGCCCTTTAAACATTTGGTCCATTTGGTTAGGAGCCCTGGAGAATCTGTTGACAAAGCTGTGGGGAACTGATATTTTAGCCACACGTGCAGTCATACAGGGCTCACATACAATCGTTGGCTGCTGTCATGGCTGATTCTATTTGTATACATAATCTTCAGTAGGTACACACCATATTTACACTGGGTGTCTCTGGGTTTGCCAAATGAGTTTCAAAACATCTCATCCATTTTCATGTTTTTAATCAGCCTGTGTTTACAGATAGGTGCCTGAAGGTGTTCATTTTTTTTAAGATGATGTCGTAATAGCACAATGCATCTGGGAGAACTTATGGTTTGGGTTATTGGTGAAATGTGTCGTCATTTGATTTGTTACCTTTGGTTGAAGCAAAATCAAACACTTCCATTTAAGCTCAATCATTCATACATTCCTTGCTTCCTGCCCTTCCCTCCACCAGAAATCATCTCCGAGCTGACAGAACGACCCACCACCAACCCATTCACCACCATTCCCAGCTCAACTGTTGCCGCCGTCATCACCACCACAGCCCGTTTGGTTCTAGACAAGGTGTGGGCCATCCCGCCTCCGAGGACAACAAAACCAGAGACCATAGAACAGCCCCCGACCGCCACCATCTTCCCCACTCTCACTCACCACCGCACGGGGTCAACTCACAGGCCCATCTTCACCAAGCCACTGCAGTCAACAGCCGCCTCCTCCACCAGCTCCTTCCACAGCAGCCCTCCACCCTCTGCTGCAGCGACCTCCTTTGAAGACTCTGGTAGTGGGGAGCCAAGCGGGGATGACCAGACTGAAGAAGAGGAGGGGCCAGAAGAGGAAGCGGGTAGCGGTGTTCCAGTGGAGGCCAGTGGGGCGGAGCCTGTCGGTAAATCACAGCTCTTTCACTTCATTACCCATAATGCTGTTGTGTATTGTAGCAGGGTTTTGTTTTATAAAAAAAAATACACTCATATCATAACGCATTCATGTCATCATCTGTTTATATTTTTAATTTGATCTGAATTCAGCTTATGTATTTATGCATCCTCCACGTAGACTGTAACAGCTGCAGGAGGGAAATGTCACCTCTAGGTGGGCAGATCTATGTAAACAGATTCTGTTAGTGTCATTTCATCTCACATAAGATGTATATCTCAATTTCAGACTCTAAAGAAAACATATTTGCATGGTTCACTGTTGCTACACCCTATGCTGTTTTCCTCCTCTCCATTGGCACAGTCTCTCGACAGCTACCAAAACAAACGCAGGCTCTGTAAAATACACTCTCTGCAGGACAGATGAAACTGCTGGCCCGCGTCTGGGGCTCTCTGAAGCTTGACTTGACAGTTGGATGTGACTCAAAGGTTTAGTGCGAGTGTGTGTATGTGGAGGCTGTGTATCTCGTCATATGACTGGCCTCGAGTATATCTCGACATGCCTTCCCGACTGTAACAACCAGCTGCAGATTTCGGGCCTGCTCCTGGACAACAGGGGATGACTGAGACTTTTCAATCACAACATCTTTTTTTTTGTTGTTTTTGTGCAGCTATCTATCCTCCCTGGCTGACAGCTTGTTGCAAAATGCTAGGATTGATGGAAGAGCATGCCCCCTGTGTACTCTTCCTCAGCTCTTCCTCTTCCTCCTCCCCTTTTGCTCCCTCTACCGAAGATTTATTCCCTTGTCAGAGGCTGACCGCAGGGCTCAATGACACAGGGAGCATGGTACATGTCATCCAAGGAGACCTGGTGTCTTCAAGCTTAGTGTCTGTTTCTTGAGTTATTTTAGTATGAACAGATTAGAATCGCCAGTTTTACAGTGGACAGCCTTCATTTTCTAATTCTTTATTTACTAACACTATTATAGTTTTGTTTATTGTTGTAATTGTATTAGTCCGTAAGGAGGATCAGTTCAATGGACGGTTAAATCATGCCACAGTTACAACCTCACTGGGCCAGTTTATGGGACTCCTGTACTTGTCCCAGTTTACAAGCACAACACTAGAATCCTTTTTATTGCTTTTACTAGTGTGTGTGTGTGTGTGTGTGTGTGTGTGTGTGTGTGTATATATATATATATATATATATATACAGTATATACATATATATTTGTAGACAATAGGTGGCAATATGCAATATACTTTATACTTTCTTCTGTTAAAAGTGTGGCATTTCAAATTGAAATACAGTGTTAGCCAATTATATCATTTTTTATTTTTTATCCATGCTTTTCATGTTGGATTCACACTTGATCACTGACCTTTGTCAACGCAAAAACTTACTACACTCTCTTAGGCTACTTTAAAATGAAAACTACAAGGTTGGTTCGCTAGCAGCTAACTTGTTGTTATGTTGTTATCAGGATTATGTTATGATGCAGGATTATGTTGGAGATTATGTTATATTAAGGAGAAATATTGTAAGTTGTGGAATATGGAGTAAAGAGGTTACAATTAGGTTCCGGGAAGCTCTGCTAAAGCTGTAGAAAACTAAACATTTCAATGAAAATAGCTGCATAAACATGTGTGCATGTTTGTGAGTGTATTTATTTGGCAGCTTTCATGGCTCCCAGCTGAGTCGTCCTGTGTCCCCTTGTCTACTGTGTCCTGCCCTCTTCCCACCACCACCACCTCAATTCTTCTCTTCAGACAAGCATTTGTAAATCTACAGACCACACGCTAACAGATGCCCTATAAACTGCCCCACCTCCTCCGCCTCCTCTTCCTCCTGTCTCCATCCTTTCGCACTCTTTGACCGCAAGTCCTTGGGCAGGACGTCCCCCTCGCCTGTGACGTCTTTATGACTTGTTTGGCTGCTATAGCTGTTTGCCGCCGCAATTATTTCTAAACTCTGTGTGGCCATAAACTGCACCGCTTGGACCAAGTCACCCCCTCCACCAGCACCACCTTTAGATGGAGGACAGAGTTTTGATGCTGCACTGCACTCTCATTCTTCAGAGAACAGACGAGACACTTTTAATATCCCAAGATAGTAGATATGCATTGACTGTAGCTCAAAGGACTGTACTTTTTTTTCCTCTTGGCAAGCCTTAAAGGCAACTGTCGGACACCCAATCAGCAGTAAACTGTTATCGCACCACCACCACCACCACCAACCCCCTCTCATTTAAAGTGCTGTGTGTGTGATGTGACTGGCAACAGTGCCTATTATGTTTTCTCTGCCTGACAAAATGAGTTCCAGGTGTAAAATCAATTCCCATGAAAATGCTATATAATCACTCCTGACAATGCCTGTATTAGCGTCCAATCACTGGTCAGCAGATGGAAGAAAAAAAAGCCAGCTGCAATAACACGAGATAGTGTCGATACAGCAGAAAAGGCAGTTTCAGCTGTAGTTTTTCTAACTGTAAAATCACTTCATGGATCACAAAATGGTTAGGAGAACGGCTGCAGCTAAAATGTCGGCAGCCTGGTGTCAAATGAAATCAGCTTTAGTTTAATTTATTAGTGTGCTTTCCTCTGTATCACCCTCAGGTCCCACTGTGGCCAGCACTACAGTTGTCAAACCTGAAGAAAGGTCGTCCTGTGACAACACTGAGTTCGGCTGCTGTCCGGATGAAAAGACACCATCGAGCAGTCCAGACGGTGCCAACTGTCCCTGTAAGTATTTGTATTTGTCTTTTAGGTACAGAATTTCTTTTTCTTAATCCCAGTTGAACAAATCCACTTCCAGTTCTGTTGAAACAAAAAAACCTAAAAGTAAATATTTTGTCTATAAACCCTGCAGAAAAGCCACGGGTGTATATCTCAGTGACAATCCTAACACGCTACACAATGCTCACCTTTTTCTGATCTATTTAACTCAGTCTAAATCAGTTTATAACCTCAATTTGTTGAATCGGGGCTCCACAGGATATTCTCTAAATCAGCAGAGTAATAGCAAATAGGGAACAGTCAAAATGTACCATCTGCCTCTAACAAGCAGCTGAACAGAGGTTATTTTTTCTGCAGCGCTGCTTTCATTAATCACTTCTCTCACGTGTAAATCATCGTACTGGCAAAATACACAGGCAGCGAAACATTAAGTTTGACATAATTAATCCGTGTTTATGAACTTGACATCATCCCACACCCTGACTCTCACATTAGTCATTTTCTGCCATGTTCCTACTGCAATTTAATACTCTAGTTATTCTCCCTGATTCTCAATAAATTTTGGTTTTATTATAAGAATGAAGAACGTTATCTTCTTTCAAGAGCCTTTCGAATTTAAAGCATCCTCTGGCAGATGCACTAAATTACAGTAGTTCACGCTGACCTTTGTAATGCAATAGCTGGAACTGCTGGCAGAGGGTCTGATGTCAGCTTCTAATAGTTTTAGTCTATACAACTCAGCTTCACCTTTCAGAGTCGGCAAATCCTCCCTCTTATCAACCTCAACACAACGTCATTGTTGCTATTGTTATTTCAAGGCAGAGAATATAGATTTTCCAAAACATAAAATTCTGTGTTTTTCTTTTGAGATAGAGTACAAGAGGTAATCCTCTGTACGATAGCTCTTTGAGACACAATCTCACTTTGTCCACACCGCGCAGCTACGGCTCTGCAAAAGAGCACAGATTACAAAAGTCAATAAGGTTTCAATGTAGTAATTGTATGAAATGACTATGGAGTTAAACAATTGTGTCTAACAATCCAAGTATGTCTTAATGTCCTACCTTATGTTTCTCCACACTTTTCTATAATGCAAAAACCAAATACTGCAATGTGTGGATTGGTATTTTATTTTGAGATAGGATGATGATGATGATGATGATGATGATGATGATGATGATGATGATGATGATGATGATGATGATGATGATGATTAATATTGTTATCACTGACTAAGTTGATTTATACATTGAAGATGAGAGAGGGCAAATCAAGAGTGAAATTTTTATTCCTTAAATACCACATTATTTGACAACAGTTTTTGGCTGTTTTTATGATTGCGTATGAAATATTTTGCTTGTGGGCTCAGCCTTTCTACTAAAGTTGGATAATAGATAATAGGACAATTAACTTTCAATAAAAAATAAATTAAAAAAAATTCAGAGCAGGGAGCAAACATTATAAGCCTGCCACAATCTCCACCTAAAGATATTGTATATATACAAGTGTAGGTAGACAGGAAAAATCCCTCAGTACCACGGTGGAAAATTATACAATTGTGAGTAGGTTTGAGTCAACATTTGCAAAAATGTGATGTAAGAAACCCTTTGAGGGTTTTACACAGTCCTAAATTCAAATACAATATGTTATTAAATCAACAGGTGTCTTCACAAAATTAGAGATCTTTAACCTTTCCAAAGTCCACCTGCCTGTCCAGACATTGTGGTTATCCTGTTTTACTGCCATTTACGGAAGCATGTTGAATATTCACAGTCTCCCTCTTGAGATGTACCTCAGTCTTTTCTTCCTGTTGAATTCAGTCAGTCTAAGTCCTGTCTTGCATCACTAAATTACTGTTTGACGTTGAGTGGAGAGACGACCAGAGCCAGACAAGCTCTGCTGTACCAATCAGTGCCTCGGCCAGAGTCAGCGGATATAGATAAAGAACCTCTCGCTTTCTCTTCTCCCAACATTCTGCCGTTAAAAAACTGCTCTGTCTTTGTCCAGACTGTGTTAGTCTTGTGGATTCACACCAGCTCCCGTGGGAGCTCCAAGTCATGACTCAAAAGACCTGAGCCTACAAATAAGTGCTCAGAGTTTCATTTCTGGGTGTGAGCAACCCACAGCCGTCCAATATTTCACTGTCAGCACTCTCCACTGCATTGTCTGAAGTGATGAGCCCACCTCTGTCCCTTCACATCCTCTGCCGCCATCTATTTTTGTCACAAAATCAAAAGAACAGACAGGTGAAATTTGGAACAACGTATCTCTTTAGGTTGGATTTGATGGCATTTGGCCCCAAATCTGGACAGCAGCAGAGGCAAGTTTTAGCTGTAAGACAACAGTTGTAACAAATCCCCTTAAGCCTGTAAATATTTATCTAATCCAACAAAGACGTCACGGCAACAGTCAATACTTCATTCAGCTCAAGTGTTACCAATAAAAGCAGGCTGGGCTACGGCAATCGATATGTCAGATCTTTTTCCTCCAGAGAATGGCTTATCCAATCCTCTCATTAGAAGTGAAATGACACGCCTTCATGCTGGAATATCCATCAGCTTCCATCTCACTGTACCGTTAAGCTTATTGACATGGAACACAGTCGTCTTCAAATGAAAACCACTACTGTTCCCCACTCCAGGGCTTCAGGTTTTATAGGGACATCAAAGGGTGAAGTGGTCCAAGGTTGCCATGCTCAGGTTGCCCTTGTGAACATTTTATAATTTGTAGTGACTACAGTGAATGATATTCTAAAGCATTGGAACATCCTAATGTTTAAAAGAGCATATACATATACAAACCTACGAGAAATCAGAATAATTGTTAATGGTTTTATGACAACGTATAATTTCTTACAGTATTGGTGTCAAATAGATCTGGACTAACTTATTTGCCAGTGTGATTAAGTGTCATAAGAATGCATTGTATTTAAATATATTTTAAGTATTGCAGTTGAACCTTAAGCATTTCAGGTTTTTTGGTTCAGGTGTTTGACAGGTAATCTAAAAAAGGTGACAGTGAAAGCTGGATTTGCCATGATGCAGATATTTAATATAAAATGCCTATCCTATTTTAAATGTAGCATTTATTTACATTTTTTATTTTTTTCAAAAGCACAAATAACCTTAAATTAGATAAAGGTAATATAAATGTAAGTTAGAAATGGATAAAGATAGGCATAGCAATTAACCAAAAGATAGCAAAAAGTTAGCCTAGCTCAGAAAACGTTTGCAGAAATGTAGCAGTTAGCCTACATAACTAGCATATAACTAAAGATTCTTAGAGAAAGAATAGACCTTTAGTAAATCATATATCCCTAGCAAAAAGAGAGGCATTATAGCTTATACTTACTAACTACTAAATACTGTACTTTCTCAAGTTCCAAAACTGGGCCTCAGGCCAGACCTTGGACATAACTGTTATTTAGCTCAACAGCTCAACACTGTGTTAAAATCTCAAAAGTCTCTCCATGAGTATCATCGAAACAATACAAATAAATGTGACCTCAGAGAAAAGGATCAGCAAATGTCCAGGAACAGTTAAGGTAACGACTTCTTTAGGACAGTGTAACAAACTGTTCACCAGTCCAGCTGAATCTGATAGTCAGACAGACCTGTTGCTGCTCTTATCACTCTCTTCCTTTATGTCTGTCACAGCAGTAGACTGGAAAATCACTCTCTCTGATGTTTGTCCACTTTGTAGATTAAAGGCAACGCTCCCTCACTGCTGCCCCCTGTCTTCCTGTCCCCCCCTTCTTCTTCTTATCACCCAGACTTTGACCGTTTGCCTCTATTTTATGGCTGCCATCACATCTGAATCGATGTCTGCAGCCCCATGAAAGTAAAGACGAGAGGGGACGGTGTGTGTGTGCGTGCATGTGTCTGCGTGTGTGTTTTGTCCTTCTCATGCAATTTTAACCAGGCTGTGTCAGTCACCAGTCTTGTGGCATTAAGGAGACAATTACAGCTATCTTTCACGATAATCATACAAGTGCCCTGCCCCCGTTCTCCCCTCCTGTTGCTGAGGCAGGGGCGGCCATGATTGATTTGGGCAATTTGTTCGGCTGATTACGAATCAGAGTGGAAGCCTGGCATCTGGGCCTTGCACAGTTTCCTGTTCTTCACCTCAAACACACGCACACACACAAACACACACCGCCATTCTCCAGTCTCCTCCACCCTGGCAGTGGTACAGTGAGACTGTATATAGAGGTGATAGATGCTGGAAAACATAACCCTCAAGGTCGTAGTGGGAGGCCTTCTCCTTGCTGAAGAAAGCACTTGTGAGACTGCCTCTGGGCTGTTTTCTCCTAAATGTGTGTATGTCTGTGTGATGTCATGTTCTGTCTAACTTGTTGTCTTTCTATCCAGCCCTTCGTGCATCGGCCAGTTTTTGGGACAAGTCTCGGTCTGGTAAAAGCGGCCCATTGTCCCACTTCTCTTTCGCTTCCCTTCAGTTTCCTCTTCCTCCTTTTTTCGTGCCATATCCCGTCATCCATCTCCTCCTCCTCCTGCTTGTCTTCCACCACCACAGTCTTCTCTGTGTTTCCCTATAATAACCAAACCTTGCCATGTTTTAAATACCCACATTATCAGCAAGGCACTCTCATATTTCTCTCTCTCTCTTTGTCAAACAAACACACTAAATCCATCACTAACTCAAACCTGGCACCGTGTGAAGGCAGTGGGGAAAGAGGACAGACAGAAGGAGATTTCAGCTGTTTTGTTTTCAGTGTCTTTTTTTTTTTTGGTCATCATTTCTTTTTCTTGCAGCTACCATGAAGTTCAGTGGATTCCTGCACCTGGACCAAGTGGAGGGCCAGGAGATCTTCTACACCCCAGAGATGGAGGACCCAAAGTCTGAGCTGTTCGGAGAGACGGCCCGCAGCATAGAGGGCGCTGTAAGTGCTGCAGGAGTTGAATAAATATTACCTTTTCATGTAGGCTTGTAGCTGTCTACATTTAGCTTTTGGTTAAATTAAACCTTTATGTATACAAAATGTTAGCTGATATTTTAGCTAACATTTAAGCTATCAAAGCTAGCTTCTTGCAGTATTTTGTACTATTTTGTATTTTGTATTTCATGACCATTATTTGTTTGATTTCAAAACTGCAGTTAATAACACATGCGGTATATCAGGCTTCTAGACTGTTATAATATTTGGATTGAGGTTAAGAAATATTCAAACATACAGACTTCATCTCGACGCTCACCTCTTTCCACCAGGTGTTGAAACATACAGAGGCTGGACAATAAACCCTCCATGTCTCCCCTTCCATTAACCCCACTCACATTTCGACCCATTTTCTCTTTTGAATTCAAACCTTTGAACAAATGGCTCTGTTGTGGAGCCAGGATCTCACATGCACATGTATCTATCTCTGTGTGCATGTGTGTATCTATAGACAGAGTACACGTATACCAGCTGCTGAATCACTGTCACTCACCCCCACTGGGACCTAATCTACTACCACACAGCAGTGAGTGCAGGTTGCATGCATGAGTGTGTGTGTGTGTGTGTGTGTGTGTGTTCCCCTTGTTGATGCTGTTAGCCAGTGTGTGTCTACTCACATTTCGACCCATTTTCTCTTTTGTGTGTGTCTGAAGCTCGGTGCGCTACTTGAAAGCAAAGACCACCCCTCTTCACTTAAAGGACAAATACTGCGTCAGCACATACTATATGTACATGTACTGTACACACACCAAGAATAAACCGCACTTGAAATGAATAATCTTAAAATCAAATTAAATTATCACAAATATTTAAAACATATTTTTTGCCTGCCTTTACTTAGAAACCCAATTTTGACCTATTTGTGTCACTTTTAAAAAAAATGAATCAACAAATAAAAAAACACTTCAGCCATTATTTATTAGGTAGAATGATAAAGAATTTTGATCTGTTTTCACTGACAGATTAAATAATTCTCATTGAACGCTCAAAACAAAATAGTAAAAATATAGTGAACAACTTGAAGGTTTAACCACTTAATATCTTTAATTGTTACCCAATTAACATTGGGTATGAGAGGATCACCGACCATAGGTTGGAGTCCATCTGTACTGTAATAAAGGGTATATGAAAAGGGTAATCAAAGCTGTAGATCCAGGGCCGCTAAACATTTCTTTTACTAAGATTTGTATGTTTTAGGAATATAATTCTTTGGACGGTAGAAAAAAACCATATGAGACAAGTGAAGGAAGACATCAATTAAAAAAACATAACACTCCAGTGATTTGGAGTTATCAGAGCCTGTGGCTGCTTTGATTCCAAACAGCTGCTGAAGTGAGGACACACCCACTCTGCCTTTGTTTCCTGTTTTGTGAATTTTACTCTAAAGCTACCAAGGTGACAAGGACAGAACTGTGGAACAATACCGAGTTATTTCTCCACTAAAATGTGCTGTGGCGCATGAAAGAGCTGCAGTTCTCAACAAACTACATAGTAAGTCTTCGTGAACACAGTGGAGTTATCGATAGGAAAAAAAGGAAAAACAATCAGGAGAACATGTCAGGGTAAGGTGACATTTATCTTAGCTCCTTCTGGAAACTTGTTCCAGTAATTAATGCCTCGGCTGCTGCTAAATGTCAATTTGTGCACCTACAAGCAATAGGTGTTTTCTCTGACCCCCACTGCTGGAGAGGCACAGTTGATTTCCTGAAACTACAGTCGGCTCCTCCGTGCTTGGACTTACTGCTGTGAAAGCACCAAGCTCATTACTAGCTTCATTTATCATCTCTTCTCTTTATCTCTCTCCCCTCCTCCCTCATTCTTCTCTCTGTTCTTCTACAGCTCAATGACTTGTTCAGAAAGTCCGCGGTGCACAGAGACTTCATGAGTGTCCGGGTCCGAAATCTGGCTCCCAGCAACTCCATCCTGGCCTTTGTGGAAGCTCACTTCAGACCAGGTCAGAGAACGTCAGAGAGCGGTAAAATATATGTTTTTGTTAAAGACTCCAAACAAAGATGTATTAGAAATATATATAGAAAATAAAAAAATATATAGAAAATTGATGAAAAGTGATGGAAAATTATAGAAAAAAAATACAGATTAAATAATATATAATATTTTGATTATATTATTAAAAATCAAGGTGATGTGCTAATGCATCTTACTAACATACAGTCTTAGTAAATTGATTGTTATGGAACATTGGATTTATATTTATTTATATTTCTACAGTAGAGTTAGATGTCTGGATTATTTAAACCAAGTCTTGTCATGTTTTTTTAATTAATTGAAAAATAACAACTTGTGGTCATTTTTGTCCAAGAAATCCTACACTTCATTGCCCATTGAGTTTGTATGGAAAAGTCTTTGTCTTAGGGAAACATTGGCTGAAATCCAACTGTTCCCTCTTGATTCCGTGTTATTCCTGAGTTAGGAACACATTAACCTTGAATGATCCTGGAGTCTTAACTGGCCATTTGCCTAAACAGTAAGAGGCACTAAGACCATAAAGTGTTGATTTGCAGTGACCATTTCTCTTAGTGTTTATACCTGACTTTAAATTTTCCAGATCCTTCTATGTACAAACATTCAGGGAGTTATTGGTTGTTAAAAATGATTGTAATTCACAACGCTGTGTTGAGTCTGCTGCAGATCCACAGGCAGGTTGAAAACTTTGCTTTTACAGTTGAAATTAAAATGACAAAAACGCACTCTTGGCAGAGGTGTATCGTGTTTGAGAGGCTTTTTTATGAGATTGTAGGGCACTGAATGGTTTTAGTCATTTTTTTCCTCGTGCCAACTAAGTCTCATGCTTTCTACAATTTTCTTTAAAAAAAACTGTTGGGTTTTTTTTTTTTTTTTGGTATTGATCAGCTCAACGATAAGTTCTAGGTAATAACCATGGCTCACAGAGAGTCGGTGCTCACACAGAAACAAACCTTGAAGTGACTGACTAATACTGTTTTGGCTGTTGAGCGATCATTTACTGTGTAAATAGTGTAATCACAGGAGCATTCTTTCAGTGATAAACAGATATGTTTATAAACTGCTGCTTTTTCATTGATTGATTAATTAATTGAAACTCAACAATGCAGCTGTACTTTCTTTATGTTTAACCCTAAAAGAGCCTGATACAAATCAATTCTTTGTAAAAGCTGTGCAGTCCACTGAAAGTAGTTTCAAAGCTGATCCTGCTTATTGCCTGATCAATATGTTTACAAAAGTGTCAGGCCTTTTGAGACTCGTAGCTCGTAGTTTGTCTTAGCACAGTCACTACATCAACCACACTACATGGATGTACTGCTTTGTTCGACTTCTACCTCAATTATATCAGCCTCTAAAACGTCAGACCTAGTTTGATCCAAACAGTATAATGTTCTGCAACAGCATTGTTTATCTCAAAGAAATGTTAGACCAGAACTTAGTGCACTGATAGTTATTAAAGTATTTGAAGACTCTAGACAAGAGGAGGGTAGATGGAATATCTGAACCAGATTAAAAAATATCATAGCGTGGCTCACTCAGGAATTACGATACATTCAAATCAACCACAGGGACTTAAAACGTTAACATCAACATACTGCTGCTGCATCATTGACTGTTTGAAATCTTAATTTAAGCTCAATGGGAGCCCTGTAAGGGTTTGGTGCTGTATTTTATCCTATGTTGTTGGGACACTGTGTTCCTCTGTTGGAACAGTGTATACATTTTATCTAGGAACAGCTTCTGTTAATAAATGTTTGTCATAACATGTATTTCTATTCTAGCTGTACTTGGAGTAGTACAGTTTACCTTTTGTTACATTTTCTAGGTAAACCAGTGCTGGCTTTAGAGTCATATATAATACTGTATGTGTGCTGTGGTTTATGGGGGCTGCATGTACAAGGTTCCTCTGGTACACCAACCACGGAAAAATCAAAGTACAGTTTTTACGAGTGTCATTTACCCTCAGTCATATGCTTCATATGGGGCAACGGGTGTTGTTAAGCAACGCTTCTCCATGGCCATTAAAGGAACATCTGCAGCGAGTGTTATGAAAACAATTCATCTGGAAAGCTGGACAAGCAATGAGTGGAGGACAAGTGGCCCCCAGAGGCCTTGTACCTGTCGTATACAGGGCTCCCTGATATATCCAGTGTTTCACAGAAGAATCTGGAATCTTGTGTCTGTTTTTCAGTGCTCTGCAGAGGCCTTGTGTTGAGTGGTTTTACCTCTTGTTTATTGTAGATACAAAATACACAGTGGAGGACATCGAAGGAGCCCTGCTGAAACAGCTGAAGGTCTCCAAAGACACAGGCATCGCTGTGAAGAAGCCGGAGGATGAGAATATTCGCTTCACCAATTATGGTAATGCCGCTGTGTGTAGGGATTCATAAAATGAAAATTAACTTATTCATGAGGTGATTTATCAAAGGTTTTAAAGGTCTGGATTTGAATAGGGAAAAATCAGGACCTCGGGCTTTACATACGTTAACACTTTTATTTTCTCATTTGTTCTCTCTGCCTTTGCCTGACAGGTCTCTCCTCTATCCCCTTCTTCACCACCACCACCACCACCACTACGGCCTCCATCACCACGGTCGCTCCCACCACCACACCTGCCACCACAGCTACAGCAGCAACAACAACAGCTGTGCTTCGGACAACCTCACCGTACATCACCCGCCGTCCACCAGGCACCACCCGAAGACCGTTTAACAGACGGCCCACCACAACACGCGCACCG